CCCCTTAATGGATTCACTGGGTCACCAGTCAAATGGCCTATTTTTCAGCTGGACGAGATGGTAAGAGCTCAAAACACATACAAGGTCCACTGCACTTTGCTAATTAGTCTGAACAGCAACAAGAGATCATTCTGATGATCTTGTGACAGACATCGATCCATCCTTAGACCAGATTCCTGTCATGTGCCTGCCGCCTTCAACAAACTGGCTTCTAGACCTGAAGCATATCTATTTAGTGGGTACATTTGTGTAGGTGTCTTTTTTAGAAACAAAATTGATAAATCACTTGTGAACAAACCTGCTGCAATGCACAGAGCTCCTGGCTAAATTTCCTTGAGAATCCGAATCATCTTCACCCTCTTCCAGACTTGTTGCCTTTTTCAATTTGCTTCCTTTTTTCTGTGCCACAAGGAAACAAAGCCATAATATCATAACCATCTGATCAACGTTTGGGCAGCTGGAAACAACTCTGCTTTGTCATGCCAATGAATATTACAGAGAGTGGGAAACGACAGCTTTTGCAACAGTATTGCAGAACCGTATGCGTGCACATGGGGAAGACTCAGCCCAAGGTTAGAGCCTTTTTATAAAGGGATCACAAACCCTCAGATAAAAGGTGCAAACGAGATAAAAGGTGCAAATGAATTTTTATGGGCTTTTTTCAGATTAGATCTTGGATGCTTTTAGACCTTGTAAATTGAAAGTGCCAGGCACATCTCTAACCAGTTACCCAGCCCATCTATTCAGTGAACAGACTGACAGCAAGCCTCTGCCAGACAATGCAATTACGATATTCCTCTCCAGCACGGTGTGCAAAGAAAAAAACCTATCCAAGAGGACAATATTTAGTGTAGACCTGACCTACTGAGTGGCTCACCTTGCGTTTAGAAAAACTGCCCATCAATGACCGGCTGTGCCTTTTGTTGGTACTGAAGTCTTCCCCAGATTCCACATCATCCTCAAGTTTATTCTAAAGCAACCAAACAGAAAGCAAAATGTAGCAGACCAAACAGAGCGCTACAGACAGGGCATTCAAACATCACCAGAAACAGTTTGGGAAGCAACCCTCCCTAAAGGGTCAACAGACCTGGACCAAACCAATGCAGACTTTTTTTTTTAACCCCAAGCTGAGTAGACTACCTGGTATCCTGGCAAGAATTGTCATCATTTTTGTCCATAGGAACCTTCAGAGCAGACAGAAATCACACAAATACCTAACCTCAATTTTATTCTCATCCAGGCAAAGTCTGGATGCCTCCGTACCACATATATTCCGACACCAGACTGGTTAGTAGCTTAATATTTGAAAAGCACAGTTTAACAGGACTTCTTTCTGCCCATTACACAGTTTTACTACGATACTCCATGGTAAGAAAGAAACAAAATTCTCGTGATCCCTAAAAATGTATATACTTTATTGGTGCAACTGGTTTTTAATATGACCTTACAGTTTCATTGTTTCCTAGACTAATAAAACACAGACTGTTCTGGTTAACACCTGCGCAAAAGGGTTCTTGAAGTCTTGGCCTTGTAGTGGATCTTACAAGAATAACTGTCTGATGCATCATGTAAATCACTAAGCTTAAAAGTACATACAAAACTCATGCCATAGAAAGTTTTGGGAAGCTGATTTTTAGCTCTCATTTAGTTTTAATCCCTAGTTAGTACACCTGCTTATTGTTGGCAGATCTCCAGCGTTTTTCACTTGCACACAGCAATCTTCCCAGGCTTTTGGTGGCTTGTTACAAATTCTAAAATGACAACGCTTCAAGTTCATGAAGTGTCTGTGGGTTGAGTACATTTCTATAAATCAGCATTACTATAAAATTAAAATACAAATATAAATGCACAGAACATAGAGAACTGAGGAAAAAAAAGCTCAACTTTCATATGCACTTTTTATAACAGAAAATAAAATTCTTTCTGTTGAAAAGTCATTTCATGTGTACATTTCATGCTCCAATTGCTGTGTGAGCAAGAAAAAAAAGCATTTGGTATCTGACAGAGATGTTCACCTTGCATCACCATTAACTGGATGAATTCAGCTATGAATCTGAAGTCAATAATATATGATTTATTCAGTAAGCTAATAAACCACCACAAATGGAAACGCTAAACACCTCTTTGTCTGAAGTCACTGAAGAAAGTCATTGGACTTTGGAGAAAAAGGTGGCTAGCATTTCAGTTTATATTTTGAAGGACTGCCATATTTCATTACTCATCTGCAACAACAGACTATCCCTCTGCATCAGATGTGAAGAATAAAAGCTGATAAAATTAAAACCTCATTATTAGCAAATTAAAAAGAAGCTCCTACTAAATGGACATAAATGCAAAAGGTATTCTTCCTTACAATATAGCTTTTTTTATATAAGCAACATGAGGTATCAATAAGATGTCATGACAAAATATTACAGAAAATATTCCAGAGGAAGGGAACGTGCTTTCTCACATTGAAATAGCCAAACAAGTGGTGGTCAGGGCAGTCATCCAAAAATGGAAAACACAGCTTCAAAATTCCAGTTCTGCCTAAGCCTGACTGGGGGCATGAACCCAGATCTGCTGCAACCCAGGTGGATGTTTTGGCTATCTGGTTATTCTTAAGTTGTATTTTCCTAGTCAAGCTAGAGAGAAGACAGGGACCTAACGGCAGACTCCTCAAAATTCATCGTGTGACTCACACTGTCTTGTTTTAAGGGAAGAGCTGAGCATTCTTTAGTTTCATTAGTTCTGTGACAGCTGCAGACACCTCAGGTGCATTGAGCTATCTTTACTGGGGAGTCTCAAAACAGATTTAAAAGCCCAACTTTAGACATCCACCTTCGAAAGAACAAGCATTATTGCTATGAAATAAAAGTAATATATAGCTACAGAGACAAACAAAACAACAATCAGGTATAGGGGTAAGTGAAGTACGATAAAACATGTTCACCTTCTTACTGTCTGATTTTAGAACAGCCTTTCCTGATGATGGTAGAGTGGTCACTGTAAAATTGTTTGGATCTTCACGGTCACGGATTTTCGATTCTTTTATCAGTGAGTCAAGTTTTTTCTTTGCTATAGTCTCCACTCTTTTCCTGTTAGTAGATGCCTATGAACAAAACAGAGTCATTAAACTCTGTTGTGATGAAAAAAGTGTTAGTAATTCCAGCCAGGATTAATGCAAACTGAAATGCTATATGCAAGACAAAAAGAAAAAAAAAAGAAAAAGAGGCTCTTCATTTGTGTAATGGGAAGCAGGTACCTGCAGCTCGGGACCAGACTCACCGTAAGGTATGGAAGTATGAGGCCCTGAAGTAGATGTTAGATCTAAAGTGTAAACAGATTGTCTGAAGTGATGAGAGAGTAAACCTAATTAAAGCAGTTTTAATTAACCCAGGACTGACCATTAGCAGAGCTATTCAGACGTAAGGTCTGTTACAAGCCAAGGATATGCTCACACAGAAATAGTTGTGACTGAGACGACTCACCATACTGAACTGGATTAATGGATGCCGTGTTTTGCAGCACGTATTTAGTAAAAATTCTGATCTGCCCCATTGTGCTGTTTGATGAGCCATTCTTACAGCAATTTAAAAGTAATGGATACGTGTGGAAACTCTGAGTATATTGTATTTCTCTCACATTGGGGTTGAGGGACAGCATTCACATGCTACAGCTGCAGAGTCACCCTTAACATAATAGACGCAAGATTCTACTGGATGGAATGGGAGAAGCTTTAGAGTCTTGATTTCAGCAGTTGAAGGGCAAAATAGAAAAGAACTCCTGTTCCCTCATCCTGTGCCCACCATAGCCCATGTGAAGAAGTGAGAGAAACAATAATAGAAATCCAGAGTTTTCTTTTTCATCCATGAGGGATAAACTCACAATCCCAGGTCATTTAAGAGGTGACAGATTGTGTTTTCTCAGTAGGCCTTGAGAATTCCCAGATAAATTTGTCATGATTTTTTGAGCTTTTCAAAATTTGGCTTGGAAAGCAAACCAGATGTAGCAAATCTCAAATTTAAAGCATTAGTAAACCTCACAGCAAAGTGAATTGTTGGTAATTAAGACAATGAGGTCAGCAAAGCAATCCCTACTGAGCCTTTAGTGAGAATAATGCAGCCAGCCATAACATGTTACTACCTACTTTTATTATGAAAGATGACACTTTTCTTACTGGCATTAATTTCTCCATCCATTTAATGGAAGAAAAATAAACATTATTTGACATGTCTTTATAAATAGCATATGTGTGGGCTAAGTTGAAAAGAATCATGTCAAAAGTAATTTCCAGCAATGAGACACCTGCTAACATTTCTGCTTGTTCAGGCATCTGGATTAGAATCCTCTTGAAACAAACCATCTCTAAGTCTGGGAATTATCTTGCAAAATCAGGATCTTAAGTACCACAGCACCCCTGATTTCAGCAGCGTTGTCAAATCACCTGACTTGTTTCCTTTGGGTGTTGGAAACAGCCTGCCATGCCTGGGGTAAAGACAAAAGAACTAGAAAACACAGGAAAACACGCTGAGTGAACTTGGCTGATCACAGTGAAGTTTCCAAGGCAAGAAATGTCCAATTCTCATTTTATTCAGTTTGCGTAGTTCTAGTTTCACTGTACAGTCCCTAAGTGGGTTGTAAAAGCTTTTGGTTGGCTTTCAACTCATTTTCTCCCTGTTCAAGAGGGCTGTGCCTCGATACC